TCACAGCTCACAGCAACCTCCAGCTCTTGGGCTTAGGCAATTCTCTTGCCTCAGCCTCCTGAGTAGCTAGTACTACAGGTACCCGCCACAATGCCAGGTTGTTTTTTTGTTGCCGTTTGGCCAAGGCTGGGTTCAAACCCGCCACCCTTGGTATATGAGGCCAGTGCCCTACTCACTGAGCCACAGGCACCACCCGACCCTGTCTCTACAAAAAAATAGAAAATCTGAGGCAAGAGGATCATTTGAGCCTAAGAATTTGGTAACAGCTTGAGACTCTGTCTCAAAAAAGAAAAAAAAAAAAGGTGACCTTAGTGATATTCAGCAATGAAGCATGTAACACTTTTTCTAGGACGAGTTTCAGAATTTAATTCTCTGAGTGTCAGGAATCTAACCCAAACTAGCTTGAGAAAATAAAACTAACTAACAACATGCACACACACACACACCAGGAAGGATCCTAGAAGGTTTTTACAACAAAGTGAGACGAAGGCTGAGTCTCAGGATTCACCATTATCTTTTCTTTTCTTTTGAGATAGGGTCTCATTATGTTGGCCAAGTTGGTTTCAAATTCTGGCCTCCAGTGATCCTCCTGCCTCAGCCTTCTGAGTAGCTGAGACTATAGGCACAGCTAGCTCTATGATCTTCTTACCTTGAGTTTTTTCCCTTGTACTATAATACTGCAATGATATTGTTGATGCTGTTTTTACACTTAAGTGTTTCTTTTGGACACATCTCTTGAAATGGAATTACTAGATGATAAAGTTTACAGATTGCAAGTTTCTTTTTTTTTTTTTTTAATTTTTTTTGAGATAGAGTCTCACTCTGTTGCCCAGGCTAGATTGCCATGCATCAGCCTAGCTCACAGCAACTTCAGACTCCTGAGCTCAAGGGATCTTCCCACCCCAGTCTCTCAGAGTGCTAGGGTTATAGGTATGAGCTGCCATGCCCGGCCCAAATTTCAAATTTCTAATAATGTCTTCCAAAAATGTTCACCAGTTTAGAAGCCCGTGACTTGTGTTCCACTTTTGAAATACAAAAATTGGGGTGAAAATCAACTGCTCAGGATGGGCAGCCCCTTAACAATTTCTGTAATGGAAAGTGAGGAATGACTACTTAGGATTTCAATGGGAGAAAATATTTTGGTTTCAGGGAAAGATTTCAATAGGAGAAATTATGAAAAACCAGGTCATTTTCTGCTTTGGGTTTCTGCCCTTTGAGTTTTTGGATGCTATCATCTTCCCCAGACTCTGGTCCCCTCTTCTCTAAGAGGCTGCATTGCTGGTTGAAGGCAGTCTTTTTATCCTCAGTTCCTGTTGGAAGCAAACTACTCTAATGCCTTCTTGATGAGATTTTAACTAGGAATTATCTTAAACAATAAAGAAGCAATACTTCCAGGAAAATTCAAAGGTTAAAAACTCTTGGTGGGGCAGCACCTGTGGCTCAAAGGAGTAGAGTGCCCAGCCCCATATGCTGGAGGTGGTGGGTTCAAACCCAGCCCTGGCCCAAAACTGCAAAAACAAAACAAAACAAAACAAAAAACTCTTGGTAACACTCATCTGAGTAAAAGCTACTTTTTTTTTTTTTTTTTTTGAGATGAGTCTCACTCTGTCACTCTTGGTAGAGTGCTGTGGTGTCACAGCTCACAGTAACCTCAGACTCGTAGGCTCAAGCAATTCTCTTGGCTCAGCCTCCCAAGTAGCTGGGACTACAGGCGCTCACCACAATGCCCGGCTAATTTTTGTTTGTTTGTTTAGCAGGCCTGGGCTGGGTTCAAACCCACTAGCTCATGAGCATGTGGCCAATGCCCTAACCCCTGAGCTATGGGTACCCTAAAAGCTACTTTTAAATATGTGTTAGGAACCAGACACTGTCCATTTTGTAGATTAGGAAACTGGAGCTCTGAGAGGTCAAGTTGCTTTATTCAAGATCCCATTGTCAGCCTTAATTTTTTTTAAATTGTTGATAAAAATTCATATGATGTATGTTTTATACTATATAATTTATAACATGACATATAATTTACCATCTTAACTATTTTTAAGTATACAGTTTGGTATTGTTAACTATACTCACATTGCTGTGCTATGGCTCTATAGAACTTTTTCTTCTTGCAAAACTGAAACCCTATACACAGTTATCAGCTCTCCTAACCCCAACCCCAACCCAGCAATGCCATTCTGTTTTCTGTTTTTATGAGTTTGACTATTTTAGATACTTCTTACAAGTGAAATCATACAGTATGTGTCCTTAAAGTTCATCCATGTTGTAGCCCTTGGCTGAATTTCCTTCCTTTTTAAAGTCTGAGTAATATCCCATTGTATGTATCCATCTTTATCCATTCATCTTTTGATGGACATTGGGATTGCTTCCACCTTTTGGCTATTGTGAACAGTGCTTCCAGTGAACATGAGTGTGCAAATATCTCTTTGAGATCTTGATTTCAATTTTTTGGGGGGGGGTACATACCTAGAAATGGGATTGCGGGATCATATGATAATTTTATTTTCAATTATTTGAGAAACTTCTATACTGTTTTCCCAATGGCTGCATCATCTTACATTCTTACCAACATGCACGCACAAGAATTCCAGTTTATCTACATCCTTGCCAACACTTATTTTATTGATAGGGGCCATCCTAACAGATGCGAAGTGACACACCTCCCTATCCTTTTGATTTGCACTTCTCTAGTGATTAATGATCTTGAGATAATGTTTTCATATGCCTTTTGGCTATTTCTATACTGTCCTTGGAGAAATGTCTAAGTTTTTTGTCTACTTTTTCATCAGGTTATTTGGGGGTATTTTATTGTTATTGAGTTGTTTTAGGAATTAAAAAAAACATGTTTGGTTCTTAACCTTTTATTGAATATACAATTTGCAAATATTTTCTCCCATTCTGCAGGTTGCCTTTTCACACTGTTTTCTTCCTTAGATACACAGACCTTTTTAAATCTGATGCTTTTCCACTTGTCTATTTTATCTATTGCTGCCCCATGATCTAACTTTTGACCCTTATACCATATTGTTCAACTCATTCGTACTGCATGGTCACTTGCACAGAATATATAGTTGAGAAATAGGTTCTTGCCCTCAGTTTGGCTCCTGGCACAGACCTCTTAAAACCCTTGTAATTTTCTGAGTGATAGAAGCACTAGTAGTACCTTTTGTACTAATATCCCAGTTCCTGAGACAAAACTCCTTTGTCCAAAATTTTTTGCCATTTCCTGGGTGAACAGAGTGTCTTTGTTCTAATGAAGTTACTCTTGATGGGCTCCTGGATGGGGCTCATTTCCAAAAAGACCAAGCCAGGATCAGAAGTTTGGAACTTTCAGCTCTAGCCCCCATCCTCCAGGGAAGTAAGGACTGGAGATTAAATTAATAATCCAAAATATCTACATGATGAAGCCTCTATAAAAATCCCTAAAAGACAGGGTTTGGAGAGCTTCTGGTTGGTGAACACATCCGCATGCTGGGAGAATGATATACCCCAGCTCCACTGGGACTGAAGTTTCTGTTCTCTGAACACTTGTGGATCTTGGCCTATGTACATGTTCATCTGGCTGTTCTTCTTTGTACTTTGTCATATCCTTTATTATATGATAAACTGGTAAATGTAAGGGTTTTTCTGAGTTCTTTAAGCCATTGTAGCAAATGATAGAACCAAGAAAGAGATTGTAGGAACCTCCGATTCATAGCCATCACTCAGAAGTACAGGAAGCCCAGTTTTGTGTTGGCAGCTGAAGAGGGGGCAGTCTTGTGGGACAGAGTGCTTGACTTGTAGGATCTGGTTCTAACTCTAGGTAGATAGTGTCGGTATTTAATTGAATTATAGGATACCCAGCACCAGCTTGATATATAAGAGAGAACTGCTTAATATGTTAAAGCCCATGTTTCATGCCAGAAGTGTTGAAAGTGTGAATATA